CTCTTTCTCCCTTTCTCTCTCTCTCCCTCTCTTCCAGCCTCTCTCCCAGTCTCTCTCTTTCCCCGCCTCGCGGAGATCGTCGAGAACGACCTCGCGACTCTCGAGACTGGTCTCGTCGAGGTCTCTTCGCACGTTCGCTCGGCGAACTGCGCGAAACTCGCCGTTTTCGCGTCGTTGTCCGAGTTGTCAAGTCCCCCCCGTATTACACAGCGCGCGATCCGATTACATTACGCCGAGGCGAGCGAGACAGGCGACCGATTGTGCACCGGTCGTCGGAGCGGTACTCGGCAACGAGCCGCGGGAATAGCATCGAGGATGCTGGAATTTTCCCTTTCTCGCGACGCAACGCGCGCGCGAAAGTGCATCGTAAATAGCTATGGATGTACGGGGGTTGCGGGGAGGGACAACTGAGGGAGAAACGAGATCGAAGGGGTGGGAACGGATCTCAGTCTCTCCGGGAGCTGGAGGGAGCGGGAAGAGGAGAGTCGGCGAAGAGCGCGGCAAAGATTCGTTTGATTCGTGCGCTCCGCAGCGGAATCAACGGGGCGCGTGTTCGGGCCGCTTGCACGTAGAGGGACAGAGTGAGAAAGAGAGAGAGAGAGAGAGAGGGAGTTGCGAGGGGAATTGGAGGGTGGCGGAAGTCACGGCGACTCAGTGCGGACGGGGGGCAGGAGAGAGAGAGAACGGAGAAGTGGCGTAGGTACTCGACCGACGAGGTCGAATCGTCATGGAGGAAGGGAGGGTAAGGTGAAGCGGCGCGAAACGAAGCGGGGACAGGGAGGGGAAGAGAGAGAGAGAGAGGAGAACGACGGTGGTGACCGTGGTGCTGTCGTTGCTGCGGCGGCGGCGCAGCGGTGTAGTAAAACCCGGGTACCGCGCGCGTCGTGAAGGAAGAGTAGGGAGGAGGGCGACCCGGTCACTGACTCTGGAAACTACGGCTGCGGCACTCGCGCTTCATTCACGTGCGCGCCATCTACTCGCGCGCGCGCGACCAGTACACGCTTTCTGCTCTCTCTCTCTCTCGCGCGCACGCCCGCGCGCATGGTACATAGATATATCAATGTAATTAATTTTAATATTTTTGCGAATACCGTTCTACGAGCTTATTATTTAATACTTGACGCGGATGAAATATCCGGACGTTACGGTCTGCTAATGCGATATCTTGGAACAAAGATACTACGACCCGGCCGTCGTTAGAACGTGACGAAGGGAGCGCATTTATATATCAGCTAAAACCGTGCAAATATTTGTCCGTTGATCGTCTTCTATTGTAATCGACGTGCGTGTCTGTCGCCTCTTTTCGCTTATCCACCGCTCTCTGCTCTTATCTGTGCTCTTATCGCTGCGCGCGAGATCTTTCCCGGTGTCACCGGTGCGACGCAGCTAACGCATATCGCGGCTCTCGTTACCAAACCGGATTGAGAGAGAGAGAGAGAGGGAGAGCGAGCTGCGTCATGCGTGATTAATACGCGAATGAGTGCGGGTGACTCTCGAAGGCCACCAATTGCAACGCGCTGCACCGGTACGAAAAGTGACGGAAAAACTCCGCTCCGCGATACAGGTCAGATCGATGTCTCTTCGCGGTGGGTTCGCCGCGTCGACGCGAACAGGTGTTCCGGTCGGGGGACGTGTTTACGCACGCCCGCCCGCCGCCCGGTGTCGACGAAAATGCGGTTTTCGCCAGCACAATCGATGCCTCCCCCGTTACGTCGCGATCCTCCTCCCCCGCCCCCTCCTCTGCGAAACTAATCCGTGAAAATCCGAACTCTGTCGAATCTATCGCACTACGCCGCTTTCTCCAACTCTCCGAGATTAAGATCTGTTTTCCCAGCCTTTCGAACTATTTTTTTTTTTTTCTTAACTTTGCGACGTGAAGTGGAAAAAACAGTCTTGTGCTTTGATGTGATTTTTTATGTGATTTTTTTTTGTTGAATTATATCTCGCATATCGCCGCACGATCTCAATAGGTCGGTCAGTAGCGCCTCGCGAGATGGGCAAGTTCGCTAGTTCGTCGTGTTCTCGCGCACGACCTCGATCGTAATGCGGGATGATTTAAACGTCGTAATTCGCTCCCTATCTCCGCACGCATCCGGTCTGTTAACGTGGTGCGCGCGTGCTGGGCCGGTGCTACGACGGTGCGCTGCGCGATTATACCTGATATAGAATACAGGCGGAGGCAACGTGTGTTAAACGACCGTTTAAGACCGTCTATCGTGCACGCGGCCGAAGGATGCAATTCCACTTTATGACGTCGTAACGCGACTGTCATCCCCCGCATATTTTACGCCGCGCGCGAATACCTGCCTCTCTGCGAGGGAGACATTATACGACTCGTACGCGAAGAGTCGTTCGACTGTTCGCTCGTTCCATTTATTTCCCTGGCGGGAATAGCGCGCAATTGAATCCCTTCGCGGATTCTTAGCTCTCCTAACTTCTTCATCGTCGTCGTGCCGGATACGTCGGGCAATCGCAAAGTGTTTGCCCAGCCACTCGGATCTCTTCGTGTGATTTTTAAATTTACCTTCCAACGAGATGAATCCAACGTATCATCGGGAGTTTCGGCTACCCACGAGAAATACCGTAAACGACAATGTGTAAACTTTACCGCGGGTAATTTTTGGAGGAAGTTCAATTAACCTTGAATAACCCTGAAGTTAATTTAACGGTTAATCTCACATTGCGACACGTTGCAAACCCGGTAAGATCAATTTCTACCTTTTTTTTGCACGAAAGGACGAGATAATCGTGCAGGATAGCCGTTATCCGAATCTTCAGGTAATTTTGACACGTCTCTCATAACGACGTGATTTTGACATTTACGAGGCAACGAATTGGAGACACGACGGAGAAGGCAGGCTCTCTTTCTTTCTCTCTCTCTCTCTCTCGAAAGGGTTGAGCGCGCGCGTGCAGTCAGTGATGGTCAGCGAGCACGCGGACAAGTCGACCGCTCGAGTGCGCATGCGTCTTGTCCCCGGCTAAATCCCCACCACGTGCGACCGGCCGCGTGGCTCCTGATCAATCTGCGGCGTTGCCGGCTCCTCGGCGGCGTGAAAGGATGGCGGACAGAACGGACAGGAGCGAGATAGAGTCGGCTCGGCGAGTTTGGGTTCCTCCCCACCACCGCATGTCTCGTTCTCGTTGCGACCCCCCACTGTTTTGCCCGCATCTCCCACCCGCCGCCACGCCGTCCGATCTGATCCAGGGGTTTCTCCCCGACCTCTCTCTCTCTCTCTCTGCTCCCCCTCCCCCCACCGTTTTAGCACGTGGAGACGCGTTTCTTTCAATTTTTCATACCGTATCGACCTGTGGATTCAACAACCGTTTTCTCCGCGTGAGACGCCTGCGAGAAAATGGGCAGGGAAACGAGCGGGTAGCTGGTTGGGATGGGCGACGATATTCTCGTCATTGGAAAGGAAGGAATAACGTCGGAATAATTTTTGGTAAATAAAGCGGCTCGGAACTTCGAAGTTAGATTAAGCTAGATTGAGAAAAAAATATATTCCACACATGAAAAATACGTCAGTCTTGCGAAATTAATTTTGCCAATACCACAAGATTGGTAAAACTCATCGATCGAATTGATTGACCAAGCATACCTCGTCTCTGTGTTCTCAGGTGTCAAAATCAAAAAGGAACGCCCGGATTCGGATGATCTGTTCTGCGAGGAGAATATGCTGATAATAGATGGTGAGTACAGTTCACATTATCGTTGGTCTAAACTGTATTTATTGGGATTTCGCGAATATCGACGCAAGTAGGAGTTGTACGTACATATGTGTGCGCTGTCAATTGAAACGTTACAAAGTGCAAGATGGAAAAATTCGATTTATCGTGCTCCACCTCGCTAGATATGAAGTTAGACGTGTATATGGAAGGATTTATCAGTTGATGTTTTATGTAATTGAGATAAAAGTATTTGGAAAGTCAAAGTATAAGCAAAATGCATTGCAGTCACGCCAATGGCGACGACCTCGATCAGTTAAAGGAGTATTCTCATTTGAAAAATATTGTTTAGTAAGTGATTTTTCGGAATATTTTTATAATTATTCTTTATAATTATATTTCTTATAAAAACTATAAGACGTATAGTTCTAAGGTTCCGCATAAATATTTATGCTTGATTCATATACTAGAACTTCTACATATTATCTTTAACATTGATAAAGTTATATATAATTTTTTAGCGCTGAATGCGAAAGTTTAATTGCCACGGTTTCAAACGTTGTAGGTTTCTGAAACTAAAGCGGAAGTGAAATGGGAGACCCCAACTTCCTGGATACGTTTGAAAATCTACTTTGCTAGGAAGGTTCAAGCATAGATAAATATTTATAGAAAATCTTAGAATTGTACACCTTACAGTTTTATCAACAAAAATTTTTAGATTACTTACAAAAAGACGACGCTTCAAATAAAAACACCCCCTTAAGATCACCCGTTAATTTCACCCGCCAAAACGGCGGCAAACTCTTAGCAACCTACCATCTCGAATATATACTGAGAAACCAATTTAATTGACTGAAACAAAATTCTCGTTTGAACATGGGTAAGCAAATATTTTGTTTTTGAGAACCAAAGTTTCGCTCTCTGAAACGAAGATGAAAAAGGTTTGGTTCCGTGGGAATCATATTTTGGCTTTCACAAGCGAAACATTTGTTCACCCATATCCAAAGAAACCAGCATCTTGCTTGAGTCAACTAAATGGATCTTTCCAAGTACAGTAGTGACGATAAGTGAATCCGGTACTGGATATCTCGCGGGTTGTTTCGCCGAGAGAGCGTGCGCGGCTTCACGTGCCTTAACCCGAGAGTGCCAACGTGTCGCGCCGCCGCGGGAGGAAGTCCTCCTCCTCGTTCGCGCGATAAGGACGGAGTGACCGAGAATGACTGGAGGCAGTTCTCGGCGAGAACGGAGATGTCACGGCGGTGGGAGAGAGAGAGAGAGGCGGGAGATCGCCGCTGCCGTGTCGCCACCACCGCTGCCGCCGTTGCCCGGCGAGAAGGGAGCGACGGGAGGCACGGGGACGTCATCCTCAGGTTGGAGGCGACCGGCATTTAAGTTTAGACTTCAGTCGGCACCCGCGACTCACGCAGCACGTTACGAGCCGCCGTAACGAGAATCGGACCCGCGTGTTTTTGTTGTTGTTCGATCAAAATCATCGTCAGGATCGATCGGACGGTCGATCGCGGCCTCGACCGCCCACCCGCAGATCCGGCGCGGAAATTGGGAAAACCCGGGGGGGGGGATCGACTGTGTATCTCGAAACGTAATGATAATTGCAAGAGTAAGAGCGTGTTCGCCGGAGTATTTATGATTTCATTAGTATCAACGTCTCAAGTGAATTCGCCTATGTAATTTTCATTACGTTTTGAGATATACAATCGATCCCCAGGTGACACGATCGATTGGTGGGCGCGCTCGCTCGCTCGTTCGCGGACATACACGTGTGCGCGTCACGATGATAATGAATAACGACGACGTCGGTGCACACAGTTTACATTGTCAATTGCATCTAGTGTAGAGTCGCGAGTGGTGCGCGAATCCGGCGGGGTAGTGTCGGTTTTCCGCTGGTCAAAGGCAGTTCTCGTCGGCCAAGTTCTCTTCCTCTCTCTCCTCGCCAATTGAAAATTGCCGCTCGGCTGCATTAACGCGCAACTGGGCGAGCTCAGAGAGAACACACACACACACACACAGATAGGATGTACGGTTGATTCTCGGCTACCGGCTGCCGCGCACGATCGAGCTTCTCGAGCCGGGGGGTCAACGCGTCTCTCGGAGGATGTCCTTTCGAAGATCACCCCCGAGGAATGAGGTGGACGAGCGCAACCCTCGCGACGATCGCTGGAGCGGGCCGGCGGCCACCCCGCAGCATTTCGAAAGTCCGGATTTTTCCTAGCGCGCGACGGCCTCGAGGCGGCCCTCTCGTCGGCGTACTCCCCTTCTCCGTCGCGGTACCACGCTATCGGGAGAGACCTCCTCTCTCTTTGCCGCGCGTTTCGCATTCCGCTGCTTCCCCGTCAGCTTCGGCGCCCGGTGCGAGACGGTCGGCGAGAGCACCACCCAGCCACGACGACGACGACGACAATAATAACAACAACAATAACAGTGACGACGGTGAGAACGTTGTCGCGCGTTGACACGTCCGGTTCGCGACACCGATGTTCGCGATACCTTGCGGCGACGAGAGGTGGTGGACATAGCGTGCGGTCGATCGATTTTTTCCCAGTGAAAGGAAGCGGAAGTCTCGAACCGCCGGCTTTTCGGGGAAGATGGGTGTTCTCCTGCTGCCGGACGGTACGCCGCAGCCGCGCATCAGCCTGAGCGCGGGCATCGACGTAGTCGGCGTAGTCGGCGAGGCGAACAACAATGTGAGCGGCCTGACGGACGCGAATAGCCTGGCGTCGCCGCAACCACCGCCGGCGACGACGACGCCGGCGACACGGCTCATCGGTATAATCAACATCGTCGACGACGGAGAAGAACCGCCGCGACGCAGCAACGAGTGGATGCCGCCCCCGCCGAAGAAAAAGTGGATACGGCACTATTTGCTCGGTGAGGTCACGCTGTCCGCACGATTCCGACCACCTCGTGGCCCACCGGCGGCCTGTGGAATTTTAGATAATGGCGGTAACGACGGGAGATCGGTAGCAGTTTTTAATTGGGGGTAGCGGCGGTGATAAGGAGACGCAAACGCCGGCGAAGCGGTGTGTGTATCGTCTCTCTGTACGCAGAGAAAAAGATTTCTTCGGGTCGAATGGAATTTTCTGAATTGTAGGAGTGCGGCCTAAAATATTCCTCAAATCCATTCAGTGAGGTAGACGGTTGAAATGTGAGTCGAATAAAAGATCGCTCGATTAAAACAAATATGTGGGTTAGAAGTTGATCCGGTTTTTCCGTCCTGGAAATATAGGGTTCCAAAAATTCCGTTACGAAATACCGGATCAACTTCGAACCTTTATATTTGTTTTCAGCTTATCGAGATCTTTCATTTGATGCCCAACCATATATCTCACCGAATGGTTTTGGGAATTATAGAATATAATTAGCCGCATTCTGTGTCTTTTGGAATGAAGCAAATGAGCGAATTATTTTGAAATTGATTCAACGAGCAAGATTATCCGATTCTTCTCAAACGATCAATATTTTTACGTCAAATAACATATTTCTTTTATACTTTCATCCAAACACTACAATGATTGTCACAAGTAATAAACTATTTGAGAAAGCAACGCTATGTTGGTAACATACCTTCTTTTTGCGTTTCAGTGGAGCAATATTTAATATATAATGAGATAAATTTTTCTTTTGTCGAAAACAAATATTTCCTTTAGATAATACTGGTTTTTATCTATCAATCGACATGGTTTACTCTTATGAAACATCATTTTCATACGAACGAAATATTTGATATCAAATTGTGTTGTTTATGTTAAACAAACCCAAGTCAGACACGTACACTAAATCAAAAGGAACCTTTTTCTCTCTGTGTGAAAAGAAAGGGGATCTCTGTGTCACGAAGATCTATTTCGCTGACTTGCCATTTTATGTATCATCGGACGAGCAACGTTTTGACAAACGACGGTCCGCCGAAACTTCATCTTCGGGGACGGCCGAGCGACCGGTTTCCGTCGCGAGTTCTAAAAACACCTTTTCCTCGTGCTCCATGTGGAATCTTTTCGCGAAGCGTTTTATAGGGAGGATTTTATTGCTCATCCGGAAGATTTATACGTCACGCGGAACAAACTTCGATCGCGCCTTCTCCTGTACTATTCGCCGCCGTCTAGTCTGGGAACGTTTGACATGACTTCGGAAGGTTGATCGCGGCGAACCAGACGTCCGCTTCGGTCTCTCAAGCGTACTTTAATTGTAACGATAAAGCCGATGAGAATAAATCCTAATAAGATGTAATATACTCGGTCGCGCGATATTAAAACGTGCTAAGCTCGACGATCATTCATTTAAAACATGTGTAAACCCACTTGAAGATATTGGGAAATTTGGGACATTTTCTATTTTAAGCTATTTTTTAGCGAGCGTAGTGTGCATTCTTTCAGACGAGAGAAATGGAAATGTAATAGCGGAGAAAAATTCAATAAATTAGGTACCGGTAAAAAATTCGTGCAGTTTCCTTCTTAGCAATGAATCGAAGTCGGATTTCAGTCAGTAATTCGCATGTGTAACACGTGAAATTAGTATCAGCGGAAAGTTACGTTTATGCCGTTGGTATACATGACGTACAGCTTTCAATTGTTTCAACATTCCGTTGTTTATGTGAGGTTAAAGATATGAAACGTTAAAAACTCGTACTTTCTCGCTTTATGAGTTTAAAGTTGGAAATATAGCAGCAAATGCAACAAAACGCATTTGTAGCTTGCGTGGTGAAGGCACACTGTTAGCGAAAGAACAGCACAAAAATGGTTTGAGCGGTTTAAAGAAGATGATGAATCGTTAGAGGATGAGGGAGCGTTCGGGACGTCCATCACGTTATTGAAGATGATGGACTGCGTGGATGTGTGCGTTCATACCCACAAAAGAGGTGTGCAAGGACGTGGAAAAGGATCGTCGAAGTCAACGGTGATTACTTCGTTAAATAAAATTATTTTTTAAACAAGTTCCCAATGTTTCAGTGTTGACCTAAGAATCCGCACGAACTTTTTCCGGCACCTAATAGTTTGATTTGAGAGAGAACACTGACAATACGTGAAGATTAAAAATCTAGATAGACAGGTGTGGGGATTGTTTCTAAACTTTACACGCGAAACAAATGGCGACTTATATAAATGTCGTATAATTCTTGCGAGAAGTTTCCCGGACCGCGTTGCCGGCGAATATCGTTGGGTCGGAGTTGTAGAAATGTGAAGTGGATTTTTGCCACGAATTTTGTTAGACGTCGGAGTAACAGCACTCTGTGTCGACGTTGCACGACATCGCTCAAGATATTTTAATATGTTTCCGGCAAACAAAACGAGTCCAATTGATAATTCAGGAGAATAGAGAAAAAAAAATGTATCATCATGTTTCAAAGCTGCACTGATTACGTTGAACGTGAACCGATGAGTGCTCTGCTGCATGCGTTATGCACGAGGCCATATTCTGCGACATATTAATACAATGTCGCTACATTATCTTTCTTCGTATGATGTTAAAACCTGGGAATAATGTTAAAACTTTTTTAAGAACACGCGTTTCGCGAACTTGACGTGAAAAAGTATCACGATAACGCGACTCGCGAGGAGATGAGAGAGCTGAGAAAAGATCGCGACGTCGATAATTTCAGAGATTGATTCCTCTTGAGTGTCGAAAGTTGCAATCAGCTGGACGATTGCCGTCTCGTATCGGTCGTACCGGATGTTTTCGCTTCTCTCTCTCTTTCTCTCTCTCTTTCTCTCTCTCTCTCTCTCTCTCTCTCGGTTTGTTTTTGGTTTTTTTTGCATACAATGTATTCGTCTATTATCATAGATACACACGCTGTGTGCGCGAATTAAACAGCGCGTAGGATCACGCAGAATAACCCCGACATTGTGAATAAAATTTCCACGCGAACTGCGAATGCAAAATCGCGCGAGTGAGCGCACGAGACGACACATGTCGACGGTAAATTTTCGCGGGTAACGCGCATATTTCGGTCGTGGCTGGCAGTGAAACGTGTTCTCGCTCCGGAGAGCTCCGGCAAAATTGCCGCGACTAAGTGGCGAACTGTCTTCAGTTTTGCCGGGCCGGAGAGATGGAAAGTGACTTCTCGGATTTCATCATCATCACAGCCAAACGTTCGCGCGAGCGTTAACTTGAACGCTTGCGCCGGAGAGCGGAGCGGAGCGAGAAGCGCGTTTCGGATTTTAAAAGAGAGGAAGAGAGAGAGAGAGAGAGAGAGAAAAGACCACGTCTCTTCGAATTAGACTGTAAGCCGGGCGCGAGCGCACGCGTGTGTCGTCTACATGTGTGTGTGCATGTGTACGTCATCGTACTTTGTAAATCGATCCAGCCTATCTGTACAGGGACGGGGTGCCCGTCCTTAAAGTAGTTTTAGCGTAAACTGAGTTTTTAAGAATCAGCTGAAACTTAAGCTACATATAGATTTAAATATGACTTGATTATTGACGCAGTTTTCAGTGGCGCCTCACGAGGAGGCCACTGAAGCCATGATATTTATGAAGCTATATTACGTTCCTATACATTCGATATTTCACTATCTAAATAATAAATATTAATTTGGAACGAAGTTGAGAGACATATATATATACGAGATTACAAGTATATTATAAATAGATTGGTCATTCGGGAGCTGAGATATTCGCAACTAAAGTTGACAATTTTCACACATGCTTCTTGAGGTTAATGTCCTACTTTTAATTTCTTCTGAACCATATTTAGGATTCTAATAGAAAGCTACTGTGATATTAAGTACTGCGGAGATATTATAAAAAATTTCAAAATCACCGGCTATTTTGTTTTGAAAATACAGCGGTGTGAATTTCGTAACTTCACATAACACTCGAAATAAACGAACATATACATATACTTAAACATTCGCGTACCTCTCTTTCTATTATCAGTGCATCTCTATTGGGTCAATTAATGCGTAAAAATAGGACTGGTAAGAGGAATAAAGAGTGATATTTTCGTATTTGTAATCTCGTGTTTGTATGTCTCTCAACTTCGTTTCAAATTAATATTTATTATTTACATAGTGAAATATCGAGTGATAGGAACGTAGCTAATTTCAGCTTCATAAATATTAAATTTATGAATGCGCCCCACCACTTCCCCCTATATTGTGATACGCCACTGAAAGTACGGCATTCTAAAACTACCTTAAAGGAAAACGGGAGTTGCTCGGCGACACCTCGCGTGCTCCGCGGCTTTCTTCAAACCGGCTTACGTCACAAATGGATCTCTAACGCGCCTCCTCCTCGCGGGGGCGCGCGTCCGCTCGCAAATTTGTTCACGTAACGGATTATCGTGCGGAGCCCGGTTTCCGGTTTTAATGTCCACCAGTCCGAAAACGGCCGCGCTTTCGGATCAGCATCCGATTACCACGATTCGCGGCTAGTAGATCCGATTTCGCTTGTCGATCTCGCGCAGGATAAAGCGATCGTCTCACTGTTCCTGCGGAGATTAGCCTCTCATCGTCGGCGCGTTACCGTGTGATACGAGATCACCACGAGTCCCGGATTAAGGATCATCCGGGCGAAGATTTCGAATCTCCGCGGCTCGATCTCGCGCGGATCTCCTCTGGCGACGGCAATCGTTAACTCCTCGGATGCACGCGATGCGTCATGCATCTCTGAAAAATCCGGACGGATCCGTCGTCGGCGGCGCGCTGCGATTTCGGACGAATATCGAGGGCCATGAATTTGAAGCATGTCGGCGCGCATAAGAGATGGAAATCGGGCTATTTATAGTTCCGTGGAAGGATATTTCCAAGTCAAATGCCGCCTGTACTTCGCGACTATCAAGTCGAGTGTGTGAGAGAGATGAGATATGCAAAGCGTAGAAAATGTGTGTGGGAAACGTAAATATCGTCTTTTTTATATAGACGTGTACGTCGGTGC